AAATCAGAGCTTCTTCTACTTCTAATATGACAGCTGTACAGACAAACCAACCTTTGACTTTGAGCAGCACAGTTTTCTTTCTGATGAAGGTTCCCTTCCTCCAGACCAAACACTTGTACTCTCCACTGTCAGCATCTGTGGGGTATTCCAGGGTCAGACTGAGGTCTCCAGTTTTCAGCAGGTCTTCATTCATCACAGTTCGGCCTCTGTAAACTTCGTGCTGTTCTTCATATTGGTTTTGGCCGTTCGTAAACACGTGAGCCTTCTGGAACGGCTCGTAACGTTCCCATATCACTTGAATTTCCCCCGACAGGTTTTTTGTGGTTTTGAAGGGCAGCGTGACAGATGTTGCCCCCTCCTCCACCTCCACCTTCACTGGAATCACTGAAAGAACAACAAATACAGACAGCAGCAGGTTTTCAGAGGTGTAGATAAAGCTGAAGGACAGAAGCACATCAGAGCAGGAGGAACAGTAACATCCCTGTTTTACAGGATGGGGTTTTAAGATATCATGGACATGCACATTGATTTGGGATTCTCCTTGATGATGGAGAACCATCTCTCCTCCTGATCACCTCGACCCCAAGAAGCTGCTCAGAGTTTTCATCGTGTATGAAGAGGACACTATTTACTACTTCCTTCATTTCAGCTGAGTTCCCCTGTGTGAAAGCACGATTTCCTTTAATTCAGCAGCGCTTTGGAACTGAAGCAGGCTGGATGTTGACATGTCTGACTAAAGCTAACAGAGCACAAACCAGAGGACAGCTGAACCTCAGGACTGAACTAAAGAAATCCCAAACTCTGAAACCTCCCAGAGACTTTTCCCTGCATTATGAGTTTAACACGATGGATACATGGTGTCTGTTGGTGGTGTTTGTGAAGTTATGTCACATAAACACTATGGATTTGTGAAAACTGTGTTTATTTTAAATGAAGAGGCTTCAGTATATTTAAGTTAAGCTGTCCTGAGACTCCAACTGCTCAGCTGATCTTCTTAGTTTAATCCACTCGCACAAGCTGAATATTCTGTGAACCTCAGGTGGGTGATGTTTGCAGCTGGCAGTTAATAGTTGGATGTTCTGTTTGTCTTTGTGCTTTTCTGTTGTAAAGACTTGTTGGAGTCTTGAAACACTTTCATTTTCATTAAGCAATTCCTTATAAAGCCAAAGTAGTTCTCACTTTAGATCATCTAGAACAAAAGACATTAACTATTAACTGCCTGAAATACCCATGATATGAAATATGAAATAAGTATTAACAAAACATGTATTAAAGCAAACAAATGTGCTTTTAAATACTTTGTTCATTAGACGTATAAAACAGACTTAATCAAGATTCTATATTTATATTGATATCAATTTATATCTATCTGTTTATAAACTAAACACTAAGGATGAGTATTACTTTATGAATGATTCATTAAGCACTCACTACCTTACTAATGCTGCAGACATGTTGGATGAAGAGCAGAAGCACAGACAGACTGAGCCTCCACAGTCGGCCATGTCTCACACACATCAGCACAGAAACCATGAAGATCTCATGTGTCTGAACATCTGAAGCTCTCCACCACATGACTGAGCACAAC